ATTAACTAACTACCCGGACTCTGAATTTCATGGTCATTGAAAAACTGTGACATTATCTTCTATAAGCCCAAACTTGAGTAAACATTGAAGATTTTTAGCGTTTTGGCTGAGTTTGTGCTTTGGGAGTTGTCTATTGTTTCTAGTCTGTCATTATACAGCATTCTTGTTCAGCACGCGTGCAATGACCACGCTTGGTTGACTTCACTCATTACTGTGATTTGCATGGACCCTCACTCGCCCAACAAATTATCTGCGACAAAATATTGTTTTCTCATACTCGGAGATGATACCAGTTTCTCTTTCTTAATTATTTCTGTATTTTTCGTTTTTTTTTTTGTTATTTTATGCTATTTTATGTTATTTTATTATTATCAATTCTTACAAGAATTATTTTATTATTATTCTTTTATTTAATTAATTTTTTTTTCATGAAAATTGTTTTTGTTTTTTCATGTTCTGGGATGTTCCGGGATGTTCCGGAATGTTCCGTGTTCCGGGTTTTATCGACGCCCAGCCTGCAGTGCAGGCGTATTTTGGGTGGGCGAAACCTTGTTCGTGTTCGTGTTCGTGATAATGTTGTAGCCGCTATGTATCCCAATAATTTTTTCCTCAAATATCCCTTATCCCAGTAATTTTTTCCGCGAATATCTCGTATCCCGAAAACCCCTAGTGGGGCCTCCTGACCTGTGGCTTAAATCGAGACTTCCCGCCAAACCCTGCCAACACTTTTCAAGAAAGCTAAGCCAGAATGTAAACAAGAAAAGTTAGTCGAGGTTGCTTCTAAAACAAACTCAAAATGTAAAACCCTTAGGAGGTTTATAAATAATTAACGTCGGCAGCCGTTTTCATAACATTTCCGGCTTGAATACTCGACAAGCAACAAGACAGTCTACAAGTCCACTAACAAAATGAATAAAACCCAAACTGACCTTTACCGAACAATGTTGCTAAGGTATCGATGTAAGTTTGGCTGTTATTATACTCATCAAAGTGTCTTGTACTCCTGTTCTCTTCAGATCCGTAGGTCTCACTCCAGTGTACGTGAGCTTTGCCATGAAACTCAATCCGTAGGCCTCGCAGTTTTTACTCCTTATTCACTTTAAGACGGAGGGTTCCATTAATTGCCTCCCCTGGGTAAAACGTCCTTTTCCCTCCATAAAATTCAACGGCGAAGTAATCAGTCTTGCCCATGGTTTATCAGCTGACATTAGTAGTCTTTACACGCTAAGAAATATTTCCAGACAAGTGAATTTTCTGAATTTTAATTACTTCAAGTAAACTAAAGCTTCACACACGACCGATTTTTTTTAACTTCAGGTTATTTTCCCATGCAACAAAATTAAGATTGATTGACATGTCTCGCCTTTCTCAGAACTCAAGAAACCGCAAAACCGCAAGTCAGCTAAGTCGCTCATAAGGATGGTTTTCAAGTCGCTTGAAACTTTTTTGAATCGTTTCAACTTTCCGACTTTAAT